TCTCTCTCTCTACAGAGTCTAGCTCTCCTCATGAATCACGTCACAACTACTCTCTCTCTCTCTCTCTCTCTCTCTCTTCTGAATATTTGCTCCCTCTCTCTCTCTCTAATATTAATCAGTTGTGATCTCAGCGTGAATTATGAAGTTCTCTTTCTATGGAAGGAAGGAAGGATACGCAAAGTCTCTATCTGGATTGAAGTGGCCTTTGCGTTTCTCTTTCCATTATATTTATGCCTCAGTCCTTTGATATGGACCCCAGAAAAAAGGATCAATTGAAACTTCCAAAAAAAAACAAATAAAAAAAGTACTTTTAAAGGACATTCGTTTAATGCGGCAGGGACCACACCTCTACATTTGCCGTCCCCGAGGTACAAAGCATCCATCTTGAAGATGGATGCAAATAAGTGGTCCATCTATAAATAATTCAAAATGGTCCAAATATTTTTTTAATAGAAATATTATTTTTAATTTTTTTTTTTTCGTGATCTCTATATTAGAGATTACATGTCCTTAAAAATTAAGTAAGAAATCCGTCTCAAAAATATATTTTTAAGAGGTGACTCATTTCTACATGAACTCATAAAAAACCGTGTCCATTTCTAAAACTTATTTATTTAAAGGATTTTATATGAGCAAACTGTATGTCTATGTTTCAAGGAGGTGACAATTATTCATAACTTTTAGATGTCCAATTCGATAATTTAGGATGCGTCATAAAGTTCAATTTTTTTTTTTGAATCAATGGCACTCTTACAACCACCTGATTTGAAATCTGAAGAGCAAGAATGATTGTGACTTTTTTATACCAAAATAAATAGTCTCTTTATAAACTTTTAACTTTTTAAGGTTACAACCGTATATTATAAAAATAAGATGCATTTTAAAAATCCAATAGAAAAGAGTGCTCTGAAATTTGAAAACCGTCCAATTGAATATCTCAACCTCAAGATGTATGGATATCAAGAACAAAAAAGAATTTCGAGTCCTAAAAACTATACATCTTATAACAAGTTGTGCAGACCATACATTTTCAAGACTTTCAAGTGTTTATAGAAACTTGATTTGCACCGTTCTTGAAATTTTAAATTCTATAATTAGGTTTGAAAATGAAGTTTCAATATGTTGTTAGGTTTGTGACACCAAAACTACATCTAGCAAAATTTTGAGGTGTGCCTTGTTTGGTAGCGTGAGGTGGGCCCCTTACACGAGCCTCATCACCCTCTTGTTTCGCATTATCCATTTTTAAAAATTTGGAAGCCGAGGAAGAGGAAAGAGAGGGAGAGAAATGAATAAGAAGTGGATATGTTTCTTCGGGGTGAGAATGGGTCGGATTGGGTCGGGATCCATTTAGATTGAGATCAAGATCCGGGTAGTATGTATCAAATTGGATCTTGAATATTCGGATCTAGATCTAAACTCGAAATTATGTAAAAAATCCACATCAAAATCTGGATTACCCCTTGAACTATATCAATGAATGAAAAATATCTGAAAAAAGATCACCACGAACATATTCATGAACAAAGGGAGGGGACCCAATCCATAATCCCCATATTTTATAGGTTTTGTATTTTAAGAGAAATTATACATCGTTACTATCATCATTATGTTGTAACTGAAAAAGCAGATAGTATATGCTTCTTGCAGATATATGTGATACATTGTCTAGCGTACTCATGGGAGCACACTAAACACTTACCTTAGATATAAACTTTTGGGTTTCTTTTACTTTCACCATATTAGTATTTAAAAAACAAATATTAAATTCTTTCTTTCTCTCTTTATATATGGTGATGACCTTAAACTTTCATTTAACTTGGTCTCAAGCCTGATAAAAGATGTGTGTTGCATTAGATAAACAACTAACGTAAAACTTCGCCATGAAGAGAATAATTGAAGAACATGATGCATAAATCCTATATATCAAATAATTGTGGTAAAAAGGGAAAGCATATCAAGAGATTTGTGGTGCTTCTAAAAAACGACATCTCCGATGTTATAAATATAAACATCAAACTATGGACCTCGTGTAAATTCCCTATATTTTTAAAACAAATCGGTGTTAGTATCTACGTAATTTTGTCCACATCTTTACTAATCAATCACATTAAAGTTAAAAAATATGAATGATGAGTCCTACCCAGTGATTAAAAATCGCCGAATCACCCGTGTCGCCGAACCCGTGTCGATTTTAGTGTAAAACCGCACATGCCCGTGTCTAAAACAAATCGGACGAGTGAATTATAGTGTAAGCCCGTGTTTAGAAACAAATCGGACGAGTGTAAAACCGCACACGCCCGTATCTAGAAACAAATTGGACGAGTGAATTCTAGTGTAAAACCGCACACGTCCGTGTCTAGAAACAAATCGGATGAGTCGAACGATTTCACATCATGGACTGGGTTCGTGATGTCATTAACATGGGCAGCATAGACACATGGACGTGCACGTACATACACGTGCGCACATACAGGCAGCAACATCCATGGAGCGCTTGCCTTCCACATGCACGCAATGTAACACACTATCCATGAACAATTTATAACTACAAGGCTTTTCCATAGGCTTAGCTAGGCGGTCTTGACAAGCTAAAGCAATATAAATATATATATGTTATATGAAAATAGACAAATATGTTGCAGTGGTATGATGGGTAGCTCTTTTAAAAAAAATTTAAATTGACAAAAAAAAAGAAGTTATATATATAAAAAAAATTATACTTTAAAAAAATAAAAATTATAGACAAAAAATAAAAAGTTATATTGACAAACAAATAAAAATTATTTTAA